GGCGAGCAAATTTATAATGCCCACTCGGTGAGAACCCAACGTGGGGTTCTCACATTTGGAGAGAACCCCACGTAGAGTTCTCCTGCCACATCAGCAGGTGGGCAGGATAAGCTTGCACGCCGCGGACAGGAGAACATTTTCGAATTATTGATATAAGAAAAACATATTGATTGTACTTGTTGTTATTGACCAATAGCACAAATCAATTGATAAAAAAAGACCAATAGAGCTCGAGTCAAGTTCCATTTTTTCAACCCTATAACAATTTCCACGATAATGACTTTTTGGGTAGATCTACAATATCAAGAATTTGAAAATAAATCATGCTATGTAACTTGTGACTGATACAATCAATTACCATATTAAGATAATTTAGCACGTTAGACCATTCCAATATAGTACTCATTATTGATAAATGTGACCTAAATAATGAGACAACAATCTGAGCTCATTAAAAATTCATTGATTCGATTTCTATTTCTATTGCTTGATTATGTTTCACATTTAATCAATATTTCATTATCCCTCTCCATATATTTTCTTTACGTAACTCCATCGCGTATTAATTTGATTGTTTTTACATGTATTTATAATAGTGGACGTCAAAAATTATCTTGGTTCCTACTTCAATATCTCAAAGAGAGGACACCGCCGAATTTGTAGAATTTGGCCACATCAAATTGCTCGGTCATTAGAAAAGCTGAAAAGGGGAGTTGTGATTGAAGACGTTCTTATTCATGATTGAATAGTTGGTCTATAATTAGAGAAACTTTCAATATGTAGGACAACCTTAGAAAAAGAAGTTGAGAAGTATTATATCAATGACTCGTGACTTGGCTCATTTGTTGACTCGATAATAATAATCAATTGTTTAGCTGAATTAAGATGTACAAATATAGTAGAATGGAGCCAAAAAAATATATATATATTTCTAGTTGTCCCCAATCATGTCTAAAATTTCATATAGAATCTCAAATAATTGAATATTTGGGTGAATGAATTTAGCATGCTTTACCTTATTGGATGGGAACATAAATATGATTGTCTGTTAGAAATTATGATTCAAACGTAGGATGAAAGCTACTTGTTACAACAGTACAAAGCCCACTTGCTCTGTCCTGGGATTTTATCAGTTGATTGCACTTGTGACAATTTTCCCGTTGATTATTTCATTGATCATTGAACTTTCGCCTTTGTTATTGAAATGTTATTTAACTTCTATTTGTTTGTCTATGATCGCTGAATTATTAAAAGTGATACACGTTCATCATTGAAGTTAACTACATTAAAGAGACTGTTGATATGGTGAATGAAAATTGTACATGACATAAACATCGTCAAAACTTTATTCTGCTGTACAAATCATGTTTCCATATGATCATTGGACTTTTTCTCCTGTTATTGAATGGTCATTGAACTTTAAAATGTTTCTCCATGATTACTAAACTTTTAAAATTGTTACCCGTGATCCACTTTTATAATGGTTTAAAGATAGAGTTTTGCTAGTTGTACATCTAGGATGTGAACCCTGGACAACCCCTTCACAAGAGAGGGCGTACAAAATTTAAAAAAAAAAAAAATCTCGCCCCACCCCCCCGCCCCACCCTCTCTGTGGGGGGCTATCATTCGAGGTGTGAACCCCGTATGTACACCCAACAAAACTTTTAAAGATATATGCAAATGGTTTATGGAAATGCCATAGTAAGTCTCACTTTTTGACAATTTTCAAATGTAATATTCTTCTCAACAATTCTCCTGTTGTTGTTGGTATTCCCTCTTATATAAAAAATGAAAATTATTACTAATCTCAATCGATGGATCACTTCGTAAGTGATATTGAGTATTGTGACCTTCTAAATCACAAACACTACATATCATGGCTAACTTACCAACACTTAAATGTTATGTAACTGCATAATTTAATGTTGCATAAGTATTATTGACTATAAACAAAAAATGTAGGGACAAACTAGGAAATTAAATGTTTCTCATGTATCCACAATTTTTATATATGGTACTTATATTACAATGAAGGTTCCCAAGTTCTGCTTATTTTCGCACTTTCATGTCCAACTTTTATTCATCGTATTTTATTTTCAACTTTCAGTAACTTAACACATTTTGTTCTTACGACATCAAGAAAATTCACTAAGACGGGGTACAAAGGACTTATTTCTCCACGTATTTTAGCAAACAAGATAAACAATAAGTATAAAAATTTAATAATATAATTTCCTCAGGCTAACAAAATATTTGGATATGAATTAGATAAGATGTGCTAATCAGTTGAAAGTTAAAGATTATGACACGGCTAAAAATAGTTAAGGACATTAGTGCAAAAATGAGGTAAACTTTAAAATGTTCCTTGCAGTTTATGAAAGTTATTGTGAATATAAATACTCTTTTATATATGGTAGATTTATGTGTAAAAAATAAAGCTCCATATTTTATAATTACCCTATTTTAGGTCCAATAATAGCATCTTTAAATATTTGATATATTTCCATATATTTGTTGCCTAATATTTGAGTTTGAAGTTTGTGAATTGATTCAAAGAGTCAAGACTTTTGTCAGGCTTGAAGCCCATTTACTGCCGACTTGGGCTTAGAAATATCTTTCTGTAGTATTTTTAAGAGGAAATTACAACTAACCCCGATTTTAAAATTTTCAATTCGAAAATCAAGTTTAGAGTTTATTTATACAAAAATCAGGTATGTCATTTTAAATATTAAATATTAATTAATTTTAATCTAAATTATAATTACTCAAACCTTAAAAATCAAAAATCATTTATCACATTCTCTGTCACCTCTCATGCTCTCTCATCTCTTGCCTGTCACCTCTCCTGCTGTCTCATCTCTCGTCTCTCTCTCTCTCTCAATCGCCTTTTTCGCTTATTCTCCCCGCCGCCGTCGATGTCGAAGAGAGACAAATGGTTGAGCAGAGGGGTGGTGCTGATGAAAATCAAGTGGAGGAGGTTGAAATTGGTATGGATGTGGCTGCGGCTGCGACGTTGAGGTGGTAATGGTGGACCCCTTGACGGGCACAAGTGGTGGTGGTGGTAGTGTGCAGTGGTGGTGGAGGTTTGTGATCTGTGCGAGGTGTGCGCGCGGTTTTGGATGCGGTGGTGGGGGTTGGGTGCAGTAGTTCCGATCTGGAGGGTTTTTTTTCTGGTTTGGATGTGGTGCGGTGGTTCTGTGTGTTTTGGCGGGGAGGTGGTGGTGAGGTCCTGTTG